GGCTGCCATACCTATTTTCTCACTCTGTTCAACCGTAGGGAACCCCACCACTCGTCCTTGCTTTTCTTTCGAGGACAAAGAAACTACCAGCAAACAGCTCGATCTTACCTTTAGAGTCCTTACACTTACGTAACATTAAAAATTTCAGAATTTTTTAACTCCCGTTGCCTCGATAAATTATCATGAGATTAAAAAGTGCCGAAGGAGATGTGGAAAAGAGAATATGTTCACCGAAGAAGAAAGCTTCAAAGAGTGCGGTACCACTCAAAAGGGTAGTAATGAAAGAAAAAGGCAGACGCATAAGAAAGTGAGACAGATGAAACAACGTAGAGATATGGAAAGAGCAGGATAAGAGAAGCGCAAGACAGAGAAAACAGTAATAGAGAGAAATATCGCATAACTAGCGATGGGTTCGAAAGATCAGCTTGAACAAACTACAAAAAGATCCAAGTTGTGAAATATTAAACATATTAAAAAATGATTAAGATCTACATATTTAAGCTGTCGAGGTAAATAATTTTCCTACAGATCTTCCCTCTCAGAAAGATTCTCGAACAAACTTCTCAAAGATTTCTGAACGTTCGAGACACGGGGATCGACAAGCCTCTTCGAGGGACTTTAAAACTTGCCGAACGCTCGGAGCGATTCGACCGTTCGTACTGGGAAATTGCTCAAGAACTTGTGACAGAGAGAATATCGAATGGCCATCGCTAACCACGTACAGGTGTACAGGGTGAGTCATAATATTTATATGGTCATTGTATACAAATAGTAAGGCATGATATGTTATATGGCCATGTAGCATATGGCTACATATGTATGTATACAAATAGTAGAAAGCATAACTGGTTATCAAATTCGATGTCATCAGCGATTAATCTGATATCACGTTTCAAGCACATGTGCTCGTAACATAAATTTACCTGAAGTTTCATGAGTGTAATTCAGGAACTAAGGTAAAGGGGTGGTAGTATGAGGAAAGTCCTTGATATATTTCAAGGTCATTGCAATCAATGCAGTATAATTTTCATGAATATATTGTTAATTCTGTTAAATATTTTGCTTCACTATTTCAATTAAAATAAGCAGCCAGTACAGAAATACAGAAATTAGTACGAAAATTTTCGTATTGCTATATTTTCAAATTTTCTAAATTTCTATACCTGCAAATTCCTAGGTGCTTTTGTTTGTAGATTTCGAAATTCCAAAACTGCGAAATATGTAAATGTACAGTTTCTCACGTGTTCAAATTTCTAGACATACTTCAAGATCCTTATATACCTATATTTCTAGATTCCCAGGTTTGAATATCTAAATCCGATGTTTCTAAATATCGATACATTTTCAAATCCTAATTTTCCAAAATTCTTAACCCATATCTCTAATAATCGTCTCCCTATGTTGTCACATTTTCTCTTGTGAAACCATTTACTCTCAACTGTACTTCCCTCGTACAAATCGTAATAAATTCATTAAATGTTGTATTGATAGAATAAAAAATATGAAAAGGTGATATAATTGTATCGGTAACGGGGTGTATTGTGTGAGCAGTGGTAAGAAGCGAGGGACAGTCGCGGTCATATATCCGGAGCCGCTGGTATTATGGTACACCCTGTATAAGGGAGGAGAAGGCTTGCGCCGAGGGTTGGGAAAGCTGAAGCGTGGCTCCTCCGGGTGGGGGTAGTCGGTACCTCGAACGACTCCGTGGGTCTCCGGATCTCCCCGCCGCGCTCAGTCCGACCCGGACGTTCGAGGGAGACGCATCTCTCTTCCGTGGCTCGTATGCGCGACACCGGTACCGCACGTTGCGTCGTCTTACAACAAACACGCTTATTGTAAATAATTCCGACGATCGTTAACAGTCGACGCACACTCGTATCATCCGAAAGAGAAAACATACACGCACGCAGAGTGATCGAGTCCGAAAGTGTGGCACGTACGGTGACCGCGTTGCACGAGGGTGAGAGGGCAGGGGAGAGAGAGAGAGGACAGAGAACAGAGAACACGGGACAAAGAGGGAGGGAAACGCGAAGAAAAAGCTCTCTCTCTCTCGCTCTTTCTCTCTCTCTATCTCGACTGCCTTGCCGGCTTTCCACGGCCACGAATCGATACCACGCGACCGTCGCCGCGTCGGTCGTTCCTCTCTCTCGACCTCTTCTTCGCCGCCACGAGTGTACGACCACTCGCCCCGTCGACCGTTCGTACTGGGAAATTGCTCAAGAACTTGTGACAGAGAGAATATCGAATGGCCATCGCTAACCACGTACAGGTGTACAGGGTGAGTCATAATATTTATATGGTCATTGTATACAAATAGTAAGGCATGATATGTTATATGGCCATGTAGCATATGGCTACATATGTATGTATACAAATAGTAGAAAGCATAACTGGTTATCAAATTCGATGTCATCAGCGATTAATCTGATATCACGTTTCAAGCACATGTGCTCGTAACATAAATTTACCTGAAGTTTCATGAGTGTAATTCAGGAACTAAGGTAAAGGGGTGGTAGTATGAGGAAAGTCCTTGATATATTTCAAGGTCATTGCAATCAATGCAGTATAATTTTCATGAATATATTGTTAATTCTGTTAAATATTTTGCTTCACTATTTCAATTAAAATAAGCAGCCAGTACAGAAATACAGAAATTAGTACGAAAATTTTCGTATTGCTATATTTTCAAATTTTCTAAATTTCTATACCTGCAAATTCCTAGGTGCTTTTGTTTGTAGATTTCGAAATTCCAAAACTGCGAAATATGTAAATGTACAGTTTCTCACGTGTTCAAATTTCTAGACATACTTCAAGATCCTTATATACCTATATTTCTAGATTCCCAGGTTTGAATATCTAAATCCGATGTTTCTAAATATCGATACATTTTCAAATCCTAATTTTCCAAAATTCTTAACCCATATCTCTAATAATCGTCTCCCTATGTTGTCACATTTTCTCTTGTGAAACCATTTACTCTCAACTGTACTTCCCTCGTACAAATCGTAATAAATTCATTAAATGTTGTATTGATAGAATAAAAAATATGAAAAGGTGATATAATTGTATCGGTAACGGGGTGTATTGTGTGAGCAGTGGTAAGAAGCGAGGGACAGTCGCGGTCATATATCCGGAGCCGCTGGTATTATGGTACACCCTGTATAAGGGAGGAGAAGGCTTGCGCCGAGGGTTGGGAAAGCTGAAGCGTGGCTCCTCCGGGTGGGGGTAGTCGGTACCTCGAACGACTCCGTGGGTCTCCGGATCTCCCCGCCGCGCTCAGTCCGACCCGGACGTTCGAGGGAGACGCATCTCTCTTCCGTGGCTCGTATGCGCGACACCGGTACCGCACGTTGCGTCGTCTTACAACAAACACGCTTATTGTAAATAATTCCGACGATCGTTAACAGTCGACGCACACTCGTATCATCCGAAAGAGAAAACATACACGCACGCAGAGTGATCGAGTCCGAAAGTGTGGCACGTACGGTGACCGCGTTGCACGAGGGTGAGAGGGCAGGGGAGAGAGAGAGAGGACAGAGAACAGAGAACACGGGACAAAGAGGGAGGGAAACGCGAAGAAAAAGCTCTCTCTCTCTCGCTCTTTCTCTCTCTCTATCTCGACTGCCTTGCCGGCTTTCCACGGCCACGAATCGATACCACGCGACCGTCGCCGCGTCGGTCGTTCCTCTCTCTCGACCTCTTCTTCGCCGCCACGAGTGTACGACCACTCGCCCCGTCGATTTTTTCCCTCCTGGACGAGCTTAATCGCTCGTCGACGTTTCCTCCGCCGTTCGGCCTCGATCCGAATCGAGAATCGAAACCGCTCCGGGGGCTGGATCGATGAAACCCGCCAAAACGCCGCATCCCCGTCGCGTTTCGACCACGCGAGGATAAAAGACGTGAAAAGGTGGTTCGGTGTTGGCAGTGCGCGTGGATCGAAAACCCCTCGAAAAAGGGAACGTTGTCAGTGTTTTTGTTCTGTTCCTTTGGATGGATTTCTGGCCAGTGCGTAATCCTTCTGGTGTGACACGTGACGGTCAACGTTTCTTTCATGGTGTTCTTTTCGCTCGTCCGTTCGACCGACTGGCCAAGTGGTACCTGTACACAAGAACGTTTGCACGGATCGTCGAAAAGTGAGTAAACATATTCAGCCATTTTCTTGCTTTCGTAAACACGATTCGTTAATCCTGTCGCGACGTTCCTCCGCTAATCCGGACTCGGGACTTATTCGCTGCTTGTAAATTACCGGCTTGGCGATCGCCCAAAACGGTCCACCCTGCTAATTCAACGACTGTACGTTTTCATTAGGCCGTGAACCGGGATAGGTTCGTTAGGTCGAATGAGAACTTCCATAATTGTACCGCTGGATGAGAGAACGACTTTCAAACATACTATTCGAAAACTGTATTTTAGGCGAATGTCAAACCATTCGTATCAAATGAGAAATTTTTCTACATATATCGTGATGCATGAGATATCTTTATTTAACGGTAAATAAATAAATCTTATAATCTCTTGTAAGGTGCGCAATTTTTTATATCGTAGAAATGTTATTTAGTATCAAATACTTTCATAGAAAACAAATAAAATTTGGTTCTTCTTATTAAGGGATTTTAATCATAATTATTCAGATATGCACACGTGGTTTTATTTATCGATTTGATATTGTCAGTCTCTCAGAAATAAGTAAAAAGACAAAAGCAAGTATAATTTACAAGAAAAAAATAGCGTCCATGATCGGGTTAGTTGTAATTAGTTTCTTACCCTACTTGACTTGATACCATCTTGATCGGACTTCAGGTGAAAACTTCATCATCGATTACGAACGATGAGAGTCATAAGCAAAACACGATTTTTGATCAGTAGTTCCAAAATTTTTGTTAAATCTTAAAAAACAAGTAGTGACCTACTGTCCTCGAAGTACTGCATCGACTCACGTGCATAGATTAATCAAAATCGATCTTCAAAGAAATCTAGTGATGGGTTTAACTTCTTCAAAAATACATATTAAAGTCCTATTTTTCTTGAATAGTATTACTTTCAAAATCTTTCTAATTTCTATCAGTTTGAAAGAAATAAAAGAATTTGACCATTTTTAACTTCAAAGGGAACACTTGAATTCGAAAATGACCGTATACCCCTGTTTCCAGCGGTACAATTTCCGTCTCGTCCGTTCGTTGACATCTTGAACCAAATATTTTTTATTTCTCGTTTTCCCGTTCGTTCGAGGTGTATGGACAAAACGTTTGAACGTTCAGCCGTGTAATTCGGTTTGATCGGAGCATCGGTTCGGTTAGTTCGCGAACGGGGAAAATTGAAGTGGAAAACGGCCGGCTCTGTAGAGGTGGTATCTCGCTAATCGGTTGTCGCGGTTTTTTATGAAGGTATTTTTATCGCGCATTCTGCCGTCTAAGCGAGTCGACAAAGGCCGTGACAGAGCGCCGCCGGCGACTTTGTAGGATCGTTCACACGGCGAGATGTTTTGTTCCGCGACCAAGCAATTAATCGATCGTAAAGAGGCTAATGCGAACGATACGCCGGCCAGCCGTGCAACGACGAACATTTGACAAAGGAGAACGATCATGTATCTATACGGGCGTATTCTACGTGCTCTCCGTGTCTTATCGCCTTTCAAAAGACGCGCCCCGCACCTTCCCTCCTCCTCGAGTAAATGTTATTCCTTCACGATCCGTTTTGCTCCGTTTCGATCGCGAGCGAATTAACCTTCTCTTTGTGCTCCCACTCGGATGCGCGAAGATGAAGTCGAAGTTTTGGTAATTTGCTAGCGGATACTGCTTCGTGGATTACTTGCGAATGTGGAACAGCGGTAAACAACGTACATTCGCCGGAACTAACGCTGATAGCTTATTTCTATATTTGAATACTCGAAATGACTGCATTTCTAAATTTTCAAAGCTTACGACACGAACAAAATACGAGTTAAATTAAGAGTTTTTAGTATTCTAGTATGATTGTAAATCGATGATACGTATTCTGAGAGGACTGCATAACGACGCGAGTTTAATTATAAACCTTTAACGCCACAATGATATCTCGCGATTAGCATGCGGATTAAACGATATTCCAAGAGTGATTTTTATCTCGTAGAATTTAAATTGCCCCATAATCGAGGACAATTGGCGCATTTTATACTAATGTTACGAGAGGACTTTGTCGCGTTCTCGGAAGCAATAGAATCTGGTGAGACTTTTCGAAAAGTATGTAACTTTCAGTGAGTAGACCGTGGCTAAGAATGAAGTCTATGGAAGCTAGCTCTGCGATAAAATCTAATGAGACGTCGGAGAACTCGAGAATCCCACCAAGAACGAAATTACAGATTCTCTACCCTATATTTTTTCCGTCTAACGTTCGACGTTCAATCTTTTATTAACGCCCTGGCTGGATATCGATTTTTCGATTTTGCCTCGAGTGAGCAATCCGAGTGACGCAATCGCCTTTTCGACAAACGTTAATCTACGATATTGCTGTTTCGATCGAACGTTTAATTTGCTTCTTAGATCCGTCAGATCGTTTTCGAACTTTCTGCCAGATGAAAACATTGCGTCAGTTTTGCGGAACGAAATTGCTTTTCTAAATGTAGTCAAAGTTTTCACAAAATGCGTGACCATCGATATTAACCCCTTGCCCTACAATGTCGTGTCACTCGTGACGCACACTACAGTTGGAATGTCACGAACTGGACTTGTATTTCCATTGCAATTAAATTTTGGGCTCAATAATTTTAATCTGTGTAATTAATGATCACTCAAGGCAAAATGTGCTTAACATCTCAACTTTCTTTAGTTGTCTTTGTAGCAATAATTAGCTCTGAATGACTGCCTATAAAATTGTAGGCTAAGGGGTTAAAGAAACTTAACCATTTGCATGAACACTTCAAGTTCAAAGACTCAGATGATTTTTATTTTACTGGGATAATAAGGTCATAGGAAGTTGAAGTAATCGATTTGAAAGCTGAGAAGATGGCAATTTAACCTCTGAATTACACATTCGCATCTTTGACACCCTTTCGAGTCAACACCAGTTTATTTAACCTGTTAGGAGAAATTCACGCGAATCGATTTTATGTGCCCGTTTAAGAACATAGAATTGCGGTGTTACGATCAGCAGCAATTGCCAGCTTCTCAGTTTCGAACTTACATCGTCAATATTTCACACTCGGTCGATAAACGTAGGTTGTCGATAAAAAATTCTCAATATCCTGGCAGTGTCGATCAATACCCCGAAACGTTGACAAGATATATCGGTCGTCTGCGGTCTCCATCAAACGGAGGATAACTAAAAACGAGTTAGGTATTATTCATCAAATTTCTGCTTTTCGATGCTGAAGGAATAATTAATTCACATTGCAAAGATCCTACAGTAAATAATTAACGAGTTAAATGAACGGTTTCTTCCTCGCAAACTTCCCTTCATTTATCCATGAAAATTTAATGTAAGTACTTGTATTAAGAGCGGAAGAAAATTAGCGAAGATGAAGATTTTTAAGTATAGACTGCAAAGCGTCATAATTCCCGGGCGAAACTCCATTTGTGTTTCACCGCGGCGATGTTGTTATTTAGTGCACAATATCGTACTGTGCATGTTAATTAACAAAATACTTCATGAACTCGTTGCATAAAATGCGTCTCCATTGTTGTCCGTTCGTTGCTTTTTAATGATATGCGCCACAGAAAACGGTGAATAGCCTCCATTTTGCGAGGAAACGCAGAATAAAAATGGCACGTCTTTACTGTATAGGCTTGCGGTTATTAAATGGTTCGACAAATTTATTGCCTAAGAGAATCACGATAGAGTTCCTTGCATTACGATTTTTTTAAACTTTTGGTTGGATGAAATCCTACGTTGCACCTAACCTCTTGTACTTCACGTGTACTGTTCCTGATGCATGTTATAACATCTGTACATATATAAGAAATATATAAAATCTTCCTGAGTATTACAATAAAGGAATTTGATGATTTTTAAACGAGCTATGTGTTGTAACATGCAATGAATAATTATTAGTCTTTATTTGTAATACACCTACTATTATACAATAGCACTATGATTCATGATACCATATATAATAATAAAATTGATAATGAATAGTAAACATGAAATTTCATGTAGTAAATGATAATGAACGCCACCTAAATTAACCTAATCTAACCATAAATAATAATAAAATTAATAATGAATAGTAAACGTGAAATTTCCTCTAGCAAATGATAATGAACGCCATCTAAATTAACCTAATCTAACCATAAATAATAATAAAATTGATAATGAATAGTAAACATGAAATTTCATGTAGTAACTGATAATGAAAGCCACCTAACTTAACCTAATCTAACCATAAATAATAATAAAATTAATAATGAACAGTAAACGTGAAATTTCGTGTAGTAAATGATAATGAAAACCGCCTGAGCTAACTTAACCTAACCATAAATAATAATAAAATTAATAATGAATAGTAAACGTGAAATTTCATGTTGTAAACGATAATGAAAGCCACCTAACTTAACCCAACCTAACCATAAATAATAATAAAATTAATAATGAATAGTAAACGTAAAATTTCGTAATGAAAACCGCCTAACCTAACCCAACCTAACCATAAATAATAGTAAAATTAATAATGAACAGTAAACGTGAAATTTCGTGTATTAAACGATAATGAAAACCGCCTAACCTAACCTGTCCCAACCATAAATAATAATAAAATTAATAATGAATAGTAAACGTAAAATTTCGTAATGAAAACCGCCTAACCTAACCCAACCTAACCATAAATAATAGTAAAATTAATAATGAACAGTAAACGTGAAATTTCGTGTATTAAACGATAATGAAAACCGCCTAACCTAACCTATCCCAACCATAAATAATAATAAAATTAATAATGAATAGTAAACGTGAAATTTCGTGTAGTAAATGATAATGAAAACCACCTAACTTAACCCAACCTAACCATAAATAATAATAAAATTAATAACGAACAGTAAACGTGAAATTTCATGTAGTAAGCGATAATGAAAGCCGCCAGAGTTAACCTAGCAATAAATAATAATAAAATTAATAATGAATAGTGAACGCGAAATTTCACGTACTAACGAAAGCCGCGAGAAAA